AAATAACAACAGTCAAACGCGGGTCGTGAGGCGTGTTTTTTATTCAATTATTTTTTTTCTAATGTATTATTATACACTATAATATTTGTTATTTCGATAGTGTACGATTATTTTTGTGATTTCTAATATATTTAAATATAAAATATATTAAAATTATTTATGTAAATAACATTTTTGTTTTTTTTTTTTTATTTTTTTTAATTTTCTTGACATTTTGGTAAAGCACCTCGGTAAACACTCCAGTTTTGGCAGGTAGTCAGTACTTCAACTACCTCAAATCACAAATGCTTTTCGCACCTACGCATACAACAGATATTGTTCAAAACGAATCACTATACTGTGATTCTGAATTCATACGTTTATTGATAGAAAAACTTTACTGTTATAGTGATAAATCTTTAGTCGCTGTCTTATCTACTTATATATTATACATGTATAAATATATATAATCACTAAATAGCGAACACTCACGGACCAAACAAAATGTCCGCTATTGAGAGAAATGAGTAAAAATGAAAATTTAAGTTTAAGTGACTTATTAAAAAACATTTTATTTAAGATATGTATATTATTGATCTTTTATGTATTTATTATTATTACAGTTATTAATTATTAAGGCGGATATAAAATATATACTAGGTGTATATTACAACGGTAAAAAAACAAATCTGAAATTTTATTTTGTTTTTTTTTTCTTGTATGGAAATTTGCTCAGAATTAGACTAGAGTTGACACTAACCAATGACCATTATTGTCGCAATCACCGTTATTGAGTTGTTTAGGTTCGTATTTATTTATTGTACATAGGTTCCTAATCGTGTCCATCAAAGCGTAAAGATAAAATCTCGTCTTAATCGGAGATGTGAAAATAGCATAATAAAATATGTACACATGATGTCCGATACGAGATCAGTAGATTTTCGTTTCTCGGTATAGCTGTCCGTTAACTAGAAGCTCTTCGAACTACGTGAACATGTCCGCGTTCGTTATTAAGAAGTGTCCGCTATTTAGAGAAGCGCGATTCAATAAATTCCGACGGGGCTGTGCCGGGACCGGGAAATTTTGTCCGTTTTTAGAGGCGTCCCGCTAATCGGGTGTCCTCCGAGGGGAGGTTTCGGGGTACATTGTAATCCAAACAAAGATATCGATTGTCTTTCCCGAGGCCGCCGCCGTGGCTTACACCGACGCCGTACGAGAAACCCACCGGTGTTGCGGACCCTACACGGCGGAGGGCTAATAGCGTTCGGAACTAGAGCGCGTAACAATATGCTAGAAAACAATAAGTGCGTTTCGACCCCGTGTGTCGGGGCTACAGCTGTACGGCTATAACACGGCGTAGTGGGTATGGGCGGTAAAATCGCTGAGAAATAATACGGTAAAAACGTTGACCCTCGTCGCCGGCGGAATTCGAATTATACACGCGCCGCGCGCGAGATATCCGCCGCGCGTGTTTTATTTTTGTTTTTTTTTTTTTTTTTTACCGGGCTACTTGTGAATATAATATCGTACGAAAGGAGAAGACGAAAAAAAAAAAAAAACTTATCCGCCCCGTTTACGTAATAACGCGCAGCGCGCGGTCGGGTCGCGGGTGGGCGTATCGTGTACGACACGCGTGTACGCGCACTCGACGGGGTCGGCAGTCCGGCGGACAAAGGGCCGTAATATAATATTATAATCTTGGTGTTCTCGCGCGCGGGTTCGATATATTAACACGGGCGACCCGGCCGACCCTGTTCGTTCGTTCTTTATTTTTCCGACTCTCCGATTTCTATGGCAGCCGCGAAACGGCCGCGTGGTGGTTGACGAGGGACGGCGTTTTGTGTACGCGCGCGGCCGCCGGATGAAAATAATAGCCCGCCGTGTCACCGGGACACGAGACCCGACGTTATGCCGCCGTCGTTTCGTCGACACGCCGTATTATTGTGTCTGGCCGTGTTCGAAACACTCCGGCGTTGTCGTCGGGTACGTTGCAGGTGAAATCGTTTACAACCGATGTTTCGCAAACGATTCGCGTACGAGTGCACCGAAACTAAATGCGGCCTTTAACGCAATACGCACGCCGTTTGAAAACTTCACCGACCCGACCGCAGCAACTAATTTATAACGCGACATTACAATATATGTCTGTATTTTAAATTTGAAAAAAATGTATTAAAAAAAAAAAAAACCCCTTTGAATCGTCAAAGGTGTATTACGCATACATATTGGCTTTTGTGATCGTTCAACTGCCGTCTCAGCACACACGTTAAAATGCGCGCACACCCGTCACCGAACTTATAACAATCAATACAATGAACTAGAGTAACACACTATCATTCTGTATTTAATGGAAACTTTCACAAAAGTCATAGTAGTCAAAGAATTTAATGTTAATACCCATTAATTCTATTTTGAAACGATAATATCTATTATAGCGAGCATGAACTTGTTAAAAAGTTATTATATTTTTTTTTTTTTAAACCTTTTAACTCGACTGTAATAAATTATTTTTATCGTTCACTAATCAACTTATATAGACAAAACTTCGGTCATTACAGTCATTACATAAACCTTAATTCGATTAATTTCCATAGACATACAAATAATTTAACGAGTTTTAGATGAATCATTTCTTTTCGAAATTCGCATTTCAATTTTGATTCGCTGTTCTCAGTACTTTAGTATTTATGTATAGCAAGCTACTGTGATACATTGCCCCGGTATATTTCTATTATAAACATATGAATACATATTGCTTTAAATGTTGAACACCTTTGAATGTTGATTTATTGTAGAAACAAACTTTTTTAATCGAGTTAACATATTTTTCGTTTCAAATTTTAACTTGGTAGTTTAATGTATTTTTTGTTTACTGATAAATGAAAGTTAGATTTTTTCATTTGTTTGAATAGATTTTAATTGAGTTAATCATTTCCATGACCTTTCTACATTTGACGTCTGTAATTTTCAAAGCTTATGCGAAACATGTTTGGATGCTCGAGCGTTCTGCACTTTCAAAAATAAATTGCATTTGTTCCGTGTTCAAAACCACGTATTAGCAAAAAATATATTTTATAATTTATAACGTCATTATTTCGGAGTCTAAAAAAATCACAGTAGTGCCCCCACGCCTGATCTTCCGAAGTCGGAGAACCGAAAATCGGAACTGGCAATTCATTCTGCCCAAATACCGGAAGTCACGTAAACCAACCAACCCGCGAAGATAATATTAAAATAACTAGGGCTCGGAATTCATCATACTTAAAATTCAAAAAAAAAAAAAAAAAAAAAAAAATGATTAAAAATGTGAAACACTTGAAAAAACATTTAAAAAAGCAAAAACGGTAGAAGGATTTAAATATAATTTTCTAACAAAAGTCAAACTATTAACTCAAAGTAATTGTTTTTTATAATACAACTTTATTTAAAAAAAAAAAATCACTTTTTGTTAATTACTTGTGTTGCATTGGAAAATTGTATTTTATTGTATTGTATTTTAGGACCATTAAACCTTCCTACCGTTTGCTGTTAACATATTATTTTTTCAAGTGTTACTATTCGGGGCTTTTTTGACGTTTTAAGCGCTGTTTTGGAAATTTTTAAGTCCACAAATCCCGAACCGTAATAATATCACTACGCAGTTACGCCGTGTCGTCCGTCCGGAAATTCGGCTCTTTCGGAAAATTAAAAACGCAATCGTTAGCGGTTGTCCGGCAACGTTCGCGTCCATTACCGAACGGGGGCGCCGCGGCGTGTCAAGGCGCATTCTATGTACAGAGTGTATCTGTACCATTTGACACGTTCACGTGTGATAACCGCGTAGAAAATTGTCAATACCCGCGGATACGCACTTTATGGCTAACATAATGCATTATGCATATGACACGTCTGATAAACGACGAGCTCCGACGGCCCGTCCATTATTACAGTTATTATCTCTCCGGTTTGGCCAGCCGACGACGTCAATGTTTACTGCGGCAATGGTTTCCGGGATGTTTGTTGTTTTTCCGACGGGTCGCCCGGTAAAATACTGTTTAAATTTGACTAGCAATTACCATTTTTTGTTTTTATAGAAAACAAGAAGATATTTCACTGCTCGTTGCTGGGTAGGCCACTGTTTTAGGTTGGCAATCGGGCGGGTAGGATAAATATTCGGGGGTATATTTAAAGGGTACATAATTTAGTTTGTATTATATTGAACGCAACGATGAATCATTGCAAACGAACTACGGTTTTCCGATCGGAGTGGGAGCTAGGCATAATACTAGTCGATATTAGCCATGTTGTTTTTCCCACGGTTACCAACAAAAAATCTAAAAATCTATAACAACCTAAGGGACGAACTGTCGGAAAAAACGGTAAATGTTTTCGAATACAAAAGGTTTATTAAGTGAAACATCCTCATCTTTTTTGTTTTGGTGTGAAAAAAATCAAAGCACTTTTGTTGACCAAATATGTGTTTTCCGTAATAATAAAACGCACATTCGTAAAACGCATAGCTTCTCCGCTACACTGAAACTATGAACAAAATAATTTTATTATTGCACGTGGATAGGCCGCTGTTGACGACGAGGAAGTGATAAACAATTGTCAAACACGAAATACGAAATTCTATGCGGAACTGGATTAAATGTTATTTTCACAAAACCAATATAAATATTATCTAAAAATATTTCGGGTTTTGTTTTCTCCCAAAAATCCTTTTTCCTCAATTATTTTACCCAAATAATATTTTTCTCGTTTGATATATTTCTCGAATGATGGTGGATTAGTGATGGCAGAGTAGTGGTACTGAACGAGAACAATTTGTTGCGGATAATTCGATAACACAGAAATCGTTTATGTACGCTAAGCACGTTTAAAATCATTTAAAATTAAAAATATCCAATAATAAGTCAATCAGAACGAGTTACGAATTCGACCTAATGAAATCTGTCAATTATTATTAATTTTGTTGTGTTATTAAATTCTTCTTTTTCGCCACTTTTTCCAACATTTTGGATCGGGCACCTTTGTCCTAAATTCCCACCCGTCTCAATAGTCATTGATACAGTCCGTATATCGATCTCAATCGCGTCCGACCACATCATCCCCTTCTCTTTTTTATCTTCCTCTTTCTCACCACACCCGTCCGTGTATATTCGTCAACTGTAGATTATTATATTTGTACAGTATTTGATTCGTCCGTTCACGTGTTCCGTCCCCTTCAATTTATACTCTCGCGTCATATTAACGTCAAAGAAACGTCATCTTGTCGTCGTAACAGTATACCGACGCCCGGCCGCGCTTTCCTTCGATAAATTCATATCCGCAATCCCGTCGAATCCCATAGATAATTCGCGTCCTACTCGAATCTATCGTTCTCGCCGTCGTCGTATTGGTTTTGTATATTATTATATGCTTATGTCGTTTTTGTTTTTTTATTTCGTCGTCGATCGGATCGGTAAACATAAAACCGCGCCAAATAATATTCACTTCCGCGCGTTGTTTTCCCGTCCGCACGTCTGTTTTCAGAGTTGTGTACACACGGCGGAATCGCCGGGAAACATTTTCGACCTTTCAAAACGCCGAGAGTTATTATATTATATTATTCATTATATAATAGTATATAGGTATGGAAATGGACGGTCCGCCGAAAAACGGCGAAAAGCGAAAAGTGGCACGGGAAGTGCAGGGAGGGGGCTGGTAAAGAGCGAACGTCTACCCTTTCGCGGGTTAACCGTACCCGTATATACATAATAAACTGCAAATGGCGGGCATATACGCGTCAAGCCGTAAAACAACAACAATATCCTTCGGCGGACTCGAAATATGATTATTTTTAATGAGCGTTTTATGGACACTGTAAATCGCGGCCGTCGTCGTCCGGCCGCTTCGCGCCAATTCGGTTTTTAGACCGACGCCAAATAATATTCGACCTTATACCCCTTAACTCCGGTAACCGCCGCAGCCGCCGTCGAGTTATTAATATTTCGGTCGGTTTATTGCCCTTTTGCCGGAAAACGGGGCCTCGAATATATTTATGTATATATACATAATAGTTTGTAAGTGTATTACACACACAAAATATAGGTAGCTCCCTACATAAATATACGGCCGGCCGGACGATATTTTTCACGCCACCGCGGCCGCTTTTTCCCGTCCGGATAGGAAACAACGTGCGTGCGTGCGTGCGTACGGATACGGAGGGGCGGGTTAACGTGTGTCTGTGCGTGCGTGCGTGTGCGTGTTTGTGTGTGTGCTCACGGGATGACGCGATCGTGCGGGCGCGGGCGTGACGAAAAAAAAAAAATAATAAGAAAAAAAAAAACCGTTTCCGCGACAGTAAAAAGCTTTTAACGGAGGAGGACCCGGTGAGAAACCGCACGTGAAAAAATCGCGGCCGGAGAATAAGACGGACGAGATGAAAAAATGCGGAAGAAAATAAATAGAGCGGACCACGTGAAACGTATTTCATATTTATATATATATATATATAGTTGTCCATAATATTATTGTTTGTTACTGCATGCCCCCACACAACTCTGTCCGCAGCCACCGGCCCGCGATTGAATAAACCGCAAAGTTTGCCCTCCCCGTGGACGTGACGGTGAAAATTGAAAACGAGACAACAATAAAAAACAACACAATATTATATTGCGCGTTCGGCTCGAGAGAGAGAGAGAGAGAGAGAGAAAGAGAGAGAGAGAGTGATGGACAGAGAGTTTTACTTTTTTCAATTTAAATTTTACCGCATTTTTATAGAAATGTATTATTATGATAATATAAATTAAATAAATACCGAAATCTGAATAATTAAAACGAAAATCCGAATTCGTACAAAATATAAATCTGTTTTGATTTGGCGCGAAAATCTTCGGACCAAACCACACTGGAGTGGTTAGGCCTGTTCTTCTTACGTTCTATCGTGATTTTTCCCAGATATTATAAAAACCACTTGGAAAATCAAAAATTGACCTCCCAAAAACAACATCTGGCAACATTCCATTTCGGAAATGGTGCCGCGCGTATATATCTGAGCAAGATTTATAGTCGAACTCTTGTTCACAGGATAAAAAAAAAAATAATAATAAATAAACATCATAGTAAAACCAATACATTCTTCGCTACACCCAGAATCTAAAAGAACGTGGGATATTACACGGTCGTAATCGGAGAGAATAATCACCGACAAGAGAAGTATGGAGGATCCAACGACCGATCGGGTGTGAGACGGGAAACACGAGAGCGACTTGAAACCAAAAAGATTAATAGGATCTGTATTGTAACATTCGGATGTCCGTATATATATAATCCGGATTTCCCAATTTTTCAGAAACTCTACGATGTTGATTTACTCTCAAACATGCGCGGTACGATACGATAAAACCGTGATATACGTATTTACATTATAACTAGCCGATTATTTTTAAATTCGGAAAAATATTATGAAAATCCAATTGATTACATCCGATTATGTACTTACGGCGATACACTATGCACGCACAATAGTATAATAAATTGGATTTAAATTCGAAACGTTTGACTTTTGCATTTTTAGTCGAGTAATTCGTTAAATAAACCTCGTTGACCATTCTCGTTTATTCGCGATTTTCCAAACTGAAAATGGAAAAATTTACTTCTCTTATAATTTCGATAGTATGTTGATCTTCTTAAACGTTAAGTTTTAACTTTTCGTTAAAACTTACCGCCTACGTTCCGTCCTTATTTGTCCGAAACGTTTTTCATAAAATTTAATGCAGTCTGTCGAGTCTTGGAAGATCGAGACGTTTTTAAACGGTCAAAGTAATTTTAAGTAATTTTTCATGAAATTAAAAAACCACACATAAGTCAAGTCTAAGTTTTTTTAACGGCAATGGACTAGGTTATAAATATAAAAAAAAAAAAACTGCCGGAAAAGAAGCCGTACAAATTGATATTTATGACTGCCACCGTCGCGCACCAGGTAGCGATTCCAAATAAAAATGACTATTAATATTATTAATATTATTACTTTAAACTTTTTTTTGTTTTGTTTTAAGGGAAACGTTAAAAAATAAAGGTCGAACGGATACCTACTTTGTTGAAAGATAATGACGTCACGGTTTTTTTTATCCTCCATTTTTACCGATCCATTTAAAAATGACTTCGCTATACTGAAACACAATATGCTGCTCATCGTCCGTCCGTCCGTTATCTAATGACGGGTCTACGTGAGACGATTATTTTATAACCAAAAACGTGATAACCGAGGGGATATTATTATTATTAAAAAAAAAAAAAAAACTCGTCGTCGTTATTAAAACTGTTAAAGTAGAAATTTTCTCGCTCCGATCCTTTAAAATAAAATGCCAGATTCGATTAACGCAGTTCGACGTCGCGATGAATAAAATATCCGAACATACATATGTATGTATACACCATCGATTGACGTTAACGTTTTTATGTATTGTATTTGTAGTCAAGACATTTTGACCTTTTGACAACACCGCAGTTGTTTAGTTCTTAATTTAACGTTTAAAAGCGATCAAATTTCCAAGAAAAGCGACTCGTAACCCACGTAAAATTTTTAAAATGAAAAGTTAAATGCAAAATAACTCGTCTAGTTATAGAATATTTCTGGTACATATTTTTACATTTGAAAACGATTTTTATAATATACGAATAAAATAATTTTTACGTGCACTTGATAAGTATGAAAAAAATTATAAATCCGTAAAACGAAAATTAAAAATAAGAAAACAAGAAAGTCGTTTTCGTTTTTTTTTTTTTTTTTAATGCAATTCAGTTCAAAATATTCGTAGATGTTAAAACAAAAAACTGTTGACACATAAACTATTGGATATAATATTCTTATTATATTGCAATCGAGTATATTAATTGTAGCATCGCCTCAGACACGATCAATTAAACCGCGATGGTAGATTGTACATAGCGTGTATAAAAATATGTGCTCCGCGGATACGTGATATTGCCGTAATAAGAAATACAACTTTTCGATTATCGTTATAATATAATTATTATTGATGCATAGTGGATTGTGCGTTTTCAACGGAAATTTCTATCGTCGCAAACAGTCGCGATTTCGATCGTGAGAAAACGACTAGACGAATAGCTGTTATAATATTATATTGTAAAGTAAGAAATTACAAATTATACGCACAATTTTCATTTTCCTTTCGTACGCCTAATATATCTTTCCATTTTTCTTTTCCCCTTTTAATAATATATTATTAGGAAATGTGACTAATCACACCATTCCCTCTCACCGGCCTCTCTGCTGCTCCCGCTTCGTGAAAAATACACCCATTTTGTACGGGTCGTAGGACTCAAGGCGACAACGGTGTACTTGCTTGCAATAATAATATGTTTAAATATTATTTTTTTTTTTTTTATTTCTATACAAAATATAACGTAGGTATAGGTTAGTGCGTATTATGGAAATAACAAACATAAAAAAAATATTTAAATATTAAACGAGAAACTTGTTCGTTTTGTATACAATTATCCGTAAGTTTGCAATTGCCACCATAGCGCCATGGACTATTGTGACTTTTAAATATATAATACATTTTAACGGGTACATTTTGCCCGGGCCCTCTCGTATAACGTCCAGTCAACGTGGGAATAATTGCAGTATAAGAGAAATTATTCATACGTCGCTCAAAATGTTCGGGCATTTTGCCCAGTGATAGAATACTACATTTTTTACAAGCGGTTTTCATAATATTTGGGAAAACTAGGATAAAACGATCGTAAAAAAAACGAGAAACTTACGAAAATAATGCTTTTATAATTTTGCAATTTTTTTAATTGTTGAAATTCAATTAAAAATATTCGTAGAGACTTGAAATCTAGATAGAAAACGTATATTTGCCTATTCTAAACGTGGTACGATTTTTCAAAAAATTAAAACCATTTTTAGGTTATTTGTAGACATTTTAATCTCCCGAGTTTTGAACGTAATTTTAATTCGATAGCTACTCAAGAGGTTCATTGAGATTCTTAGTTTATGGTCAAAAAAAAAAAAAAAAATTTGAGTCCAATGCAGTATTTTTTTTTTATCTAAAGGAATTTTAATATCAAATTTTGAAGAAAATCGTTTGTTCTGATTATTTTTTTATCATATGTATATTACCGATAGCCAAATGGTTATACATATCTATTGTCATCCAAGAGTTCACGAGTTCAAACCCGTGTTCTGAAAAAAATGTTTGCATTTATTTTTTCCCTTTTACCTTAACAGGAAAAAACCAAAAGCATTTTAAATGAACCTAGAGACCCAGCTATCGCTCGATCGGATT